TGTATTTGTTATATACTTTTATATGTGTATATTTTTTCAATTAAAATGTGAAATATTTTCTAATTTAAAACTTGATATATTATTGTTAAGGAGACTCTAGATATTAAGTACTGAGTTAAAAAATTTATTTCTTATTTCGCAGATGTTCAATATATATATAAAGAAAGCTGCAGATATATATGGTGTGCCAAAAACTCGGCAAATATACGAAAAAGCTATAGAAGTTTTGAATGATGAGAACACCAGAGAAATGTGTTTACGATTTGCTGAAATGGAAACCAAATTAGGAGAAGTAGATAGAGCGAGAGCGATATACGCACATTGTAGCCAAATATGTGATCCAAGGGTATGATGTTATGTTCATAATACATTCCAGCAGTATTATATTGTTTATTTTGAACGCATTAAATTGAAACGATGTAGGTCACCTCCAACTTTTGGCAAATTTGGAAAGAATTTGAAGTTAGACATGGAAATGAGGATACAATGCGTGAAATGCTTCGAATTAAACGTAGCGTGCAAGCTATGTATAATACTCAAGTAAACATGATGTCTGCACAAATGTTGAATAACACATCCAACCAAATATCAGATGTTACGTTGGATGCTATGCGTTTATTAGATAGTAAAATTACATCAAGTGCAGGTAATAGAGATTTTACACACATGCGTATACGCGCGCGTGTACGCTCATCTTTCGTCTCTTTATTTTACAAATTTTAAACAATGTTAAACATTCTTGAATTGCAGACAATGTTGCTGATGTCAAAGGAGTTATTAAATTTGTACGTGGTGTAACAGAAAAGGATGGGAGACCAGAATCCCATGTGAATAATCCAGATGAGATTGATATTGACATAGATGACGAAAATGATAATAATGTAGAAATAGAAGAAGGTACTACAGTATATATTTACAAGTAGCTCCAAAATTAAATTATCTTGTATATAAGTATAAAGCTATCTTTTGTTTTTCTGAACATTGGAATTAAATCTATGCTCTTACTTTATTACATTTTCACAAAGAATATAATATGAAGATGTAAGAATTTAATATGGATATAAAAAAAAATATATATATATATATATTACATATACACAAACTAATATATCTTTTTATTAATATTCTATTTATTTTTAGATGTACTGATTGAGAAACAAACTATACCATCACAAGTATTTGGTAGTTTAAAAGCAGTCCAAAAAGAAGAAGAGGATTGAGATTTTAATGAGAATAGCATTATGGTTGAATAATATCTATATGCAGCAACTATATTACTGTGTAGAGAAACTGCAGTTAACTAATAATTATAATCTTGTCATAGACTTGTATATATTGTTTTGGTTATAAAAAAAATACATTTTTCCAATCTTCTAATATATTTATAGAGTATTATGCAGAATTTATCAATTTTTAAATATTCATAAATAAAACAATTGTATTTTAGGGGCCGCCCTTTGACTATATAACGGGAGCTTTCCAACAAAGGACACAAACGACAGTGTAAAGCCTATGGCATAAAGAAAAACGTAAGGCCGTAAACGTAATCAGTAAGCGAATTGACCAATCATAGTTTAGAACTTTAGCGGCGGCCGCTTACGTTCTTAACTGTGATTGGTCAATTCGCTTACTGATTACGTTTACGGCCTTACATTTTCTATGTGCCATGGGCTTAACACAGCGGATCAATGGACGCGTTTTGCAGACTCGACAGTCGAGTCCACTGAATGCGCCCATTACATCCTTGTTATTCACCAACGTTAAACAAAGATAAAATGTGTTACACAGTATCGCTTGTTGAAAAGCTTCCAATTATAGACTTTTTTATTGTATAGACTGGCAGTAGACCTATAACTTTAGAAACTAGAAACGTTTCTTGCATCTCAATGTTCTAGTTACTTCGAGTCACTAAACTTTCACCTTTCCGCCAGCGATGGCGGAAAAATTCACTTAAAAAGTTTCACGTTTCAACTTTTCGCCGAGTTCTATGATCATAAGTTCACGTGAGATCTTTCACTTTTCGCCTTTCCGCTCTAGGGGAAAAGTTACATGATCGCTGCCCAGGGTATCAATCATGTAACTTTTTATGTAGAGCGAAAACGTGAAAAAGTTACATAATCGATACCCAGGTCGAAAGAGAAGCAGTCAATGGGCGAGTTCAAGACGGCAAAGCGGCTTAGGTCGCTTGCCGAGCGATCGAATATGATTGGTTGGATCTATAAGTAATTATGTTCAATCGCTCGGCAAGCGTACCTAGCCGCTTTGCCCTCTTGAACTCGCCTAATTGCGCTGACTCGCTGAGTGGAGTGCTAAGAATTCAAGTACTCTCGAAGCGCGCAATAGTTAAGAGCCCCAACACACACTTTCGCATAAAGCATGTGCATAAGGAATTTCATTGGCCCATTTTCTTATGCATGAATAAATGGACCAATCAAATTCTTTATGTATATGGTTTATGCGTTATGCAAGAGTCTGTGCTCCCCGCTTAAAGCGGAACGACTTTCTATGCAGTCTACGCGCTTTATTCGGAACTCGGAACGCACCCTAGGACTCTCTGTCTTGAACTCGCTCATAAGTCTCTGCTGAACGTAGTGAAATGAACTCACCCATTTTTTCGTTTCATGCAAAAACGCACCGAATGAGTATATTTTCGTCAAGATTCGTGGTGGAGTCCAATAAAACAAACGATCAACCATGTCACATTTGAATGCCCTCTCTTTGAACAAAAGGCCCTCCAACTCCGAAAATACTTATCTCAAGACACTCCCCCTGTAGATATCTTCCCTTTCCTTTCCCATCCCTTTCTCACGCTAATAAGACTCCTCCTAGCTTTCATGAAAGCTAGCGAATTTTTCTTTTGAAATTCCCTCCTCTCCTATGGCGCGCGACCACCGTCAGGCGGCAGCAGGCGTCTGGATGGACAGAAAATAGCATCACATTCACACACTAGACTCAGACTTACCGTATACATGCATCGACTCCATTTTATACGCTAAAACGCAGACCTCAGTGGCCCAGTACCAGCTTGTTTTGTGCTGCCGGGCCAACCAAAGAAGAAGAAGAAGATTCGTGGTGGAAGTAACGCAGACCTCAGTGGCCCAGTACCAGCTTGTTTTATGCTGCCGGGCCAACCAAAGAAGAAGAAGAAGATTCGTGGTGGAACCCGTATTCTAAATAATAACAAAAGCAAGAGTTTAGTGCTGAAATAAAAAATATACCTTTCTTGACAATATGTCGATGCTATTTCGAAGAATTGTTGGCAAATTACAAAGAGGTACGTGTCCTCCGTTGAAATATTGCACGACTGTAGAAAATCAAGTAAAAGTTGAAGATATCGTTCCAATTATATCTGAGATACAATACGATGACGAAAATAATTTCTATCAAAAGCCTCGGCAAGTGTGGCTAGAGAATTTAAATACTGTAGAGGAAAAGAAATTGGGTTTAGTTACTTTACACCCACACATCTATGCTGCTGCACCCCGTATTGATATCATTCACCAGAATGTAAGATGGCAAAGAATGTACCGCTGGGTTGTAAGTCTATTGTGCTTAAATGTAATTATATTTGTGTGAAGTATACAAACTTTTATATATATATTTATTTTTTGTTTACAGTCTTATGCGCATACAAAAACGCGTGCTGAAGTTCGAGGTGGCGGTAGAAAACCTTGGCCACAGAAAGGAACAGGACGAGCTCGCCATGGAAGTATACGTTCACCATTGTGGAGAGGTGGTGGAGTAGCACATGGTCCTCGTTCTCCAACGCCACACTTTTACATGTTACCATTTTACACTCGTGTAGCAGGTCTTACGGCAACATTATCAGTAAAACTCGCTCAAGATGATCTACATATAGTCGATGAATTGGAAATTCCATCATCGGAATCGTCCTATATAGAGCAATTAATTGAGGAGAGAAATTGGGGACCATCTGTTCTTTTTATAGACAGCTATGATATTATGCCTAAAAATATTACACTAGCTACTGATCAGATTAAGCATGTCAATATGATGCCTGTTTATGGTAAGTATATTTATACAACTTGCATAAATTTTCTTATTATTTTGATATATACATTATTCTGATATGTACAGGGTGTCCCGAGAGTTTCTTCCAATTACTTTTGTGTCGATAGAGCAGACTAAACTGAATTGAAAAGTCCTCCATCATTTTGCAAGTTTTGCAATGGTTAACGAGATATTCATTTTTTTTAAAGATAGCCGAATATTGGTCTTCAATAATTTTTTTCTCAAATACTATCAACTTTACAAAAAATTGGAAGAAACTCTCGGAGGACATCCTGTGTGTATATTGAACAAATCTAAATACAAATCACATTATATAAAAATTTACATAGATTAAGTTAAATATTCTTGAGCAATGAGTTTAGTGACTCAGTATAAAAAAGTGAATAAATTATTTAAATATCCTAGGATTTCGTCTTTGCATATAAATACATCTTACAATTTCAATGAAAGTGAGTTTACTCCCAATACATTTTAAGACTTACATCTAGACTTATTGAATTCAATGTTCAAATTAATTAATCAAAATGAATGATTTTTTAATTAGTAAAGGAGATGCTTATTACAGTCTTCTTTAAAGATTCTTAATGACTCAATTATATTTCACAATATTTATGTGTCATATTAAAACTTCACAGTTATTTTTTTTATGTATGTAGGTTTGAACGTGTACAGTATGCTGAAACACAACACTTTGGTACTTACGGAAAAAGCAGCCAGATTAATAGAAAAAAAATTGCTTTATCATTTACATAGGACAGACAGTAATAAATTATTGCATCCATTTAGACTTGATCAATAATGAGGAACAATATTTGATGAAATTAGAAACGCATATATGTGTATTATTACTTATATATACAGATTGCATTGTATGTACATTTTTAAATATAACTTTACAAATTAAATCATTAAAACAATATTAAAGTAAAACAGTTTAATTATTGTCATATTATTTATCGAATCAATTTTCTATAGTGTACACATTCCTTCTTTTGAAACAATTCGTTATCACATCTGTCATTTCCTCTTTAATATTGGCAATGACATTTTTGAAACTGGCTAAAATTAAACGATATAAATTTTACAAAAAAAATTTTAGCACATACATTCAAGATATGTACTGACATTGTGACAGTTTACAAATCTTACCATAGGATGTGGATCTGTACCAAGCATCTTTTCTCGCACAGCCCATCTTACTTTTGAATGCTTTGCTTCTCCAGGAAAAGATATCCGCTTCCATTCTTGTTGATACTTTTGATAAAGAGCAACAGGATCACATCTCTTGGTGATACTTTTCTGTACCTCGGATTGTAACCTCCATGGTCGAATAACTGTATATAAATAGCTCGGATATAAAAATGTAAAATCCTTAAAAATTTTAACAAATTATATATGTAAATTTTGCACAACTTACATGATTTAGGTCCAGAATTAATACCAGATGACCTTGTAGATAAGGTACTTTGTGTACGAATGTTTCCAGTTGGATCTGATGTAACACTCTTTGATTCTGACCGGCTTACATAATTTGATAAAACTGGTGCGCTCGATAATTGTTCTTGTATTAAAGCCAGTGGTTTTATTTGTTCGTCTATTTTTAAATTTTGCTTACATCTTTCTGCCAAATGACTATTTTTTATCAAACATTTGGAAATATCTTGTACGTCTTTACTTTTTGAACTTTTAATAACTGGATAAGATTTAGTATTAGAATAATTCTGTTCACAATAAATTCTATTAGATTCAGTTACTTCAATAGTATCTTGCTTATTACAATTTATTTGTAACAATTTATCATCTGATTTTGTCACGTTTGCTTTGGAGCATCTTTGTTTTTGTATATCATCCTCCTTAGAGATACATCTTATTCGAACTTTTACCACTGACTCATCATCATCAAGTGAATTTTCAGGAGGAACGTTACGTTGAGGAGAATTACTCAAGGAATAATCTGTAGTGTCATGATGTGATCTATAAGCTGTCCTGAGCAGAGTCTGTTGTTTGTTAATTATTTTCGTTGTAATCTCTTCTTTTCGTTGCTGCTTTTCACGTTCTCTTACCTTTCTGTATATTTTCAAATCTAGAAAGAAAAATGTGTAGTAAAATCTCAACTGTTTTGCAACAAAGTAAACACATTGATTTTATAGCAAAATAATAGAAAGGAAAAATAACACAAACAAATGTGTATCGATTACGTGGTAATAACAATAATTATTATTATTGTATAAAATAAAATACACAGTGTGTTACAGAAGGAAATAAAAAAAATCAAGTATTGTAAGCGTGTTGCACTGACCTTTCATAAAAGCTTTTAGTTGAATCGCAGTGATGCCGACGAATCCTAACGAATTCAGAAGAACGAGAACTTCTCGCGGATCATCTTTAATTTCTGACATGATCGCATTAATTTGAAGAAACTTAAGGGATGGTATACGACAGCCTTCACCTTTTTAAATAAGAGAAACGTTAATACTATCATCAGAGGAAAAAACCTGAGATCACGGAGTAAAAAGAATGAAAAAGAAGATGATCAAACAGCTCGAAAATGGACGTTGGTGCCGCTAGTGTAAAGCATTACAAGAAAAAGGCCGCCATGGCTGCTCTCAGGTTTCTCTCTGCCGCTAGACCAATGAGCATCTTATGTCAATTAATATGGCAACTTTTAAGGCCTATTAAGCCTTGTGTCCACGATGCTAGAACTTGGACCGAGTTCTCGGATGAAGGAAGAATTGACCAATCATATTGGTCACGTGACCAATTCCATTGGCATGTGACCAAATTGTTCAAATGTGATTTGTTAATTCTTCCTTCATCCGAGATCTCGGACCGATTTCTAGCATCGTGGACACAAGGCTTTAGCCCAGGATATCGATCATGAAACTTTTTCCCTAGAATGAAAAGTAAAAAGTGTAAATTTTTACCATTAAAGTTAATTTACCATTAAATTTTTCACTTTTCACTTTTTATCCGAAGGAAAAAGTTTCATGACCCCTGGGGGGCCTATTCTGTACACGCTTACCGACAGTTGTCGGTGTCGTTAAGTCGCGATAGCCAATAAGAATTACACTTTTCTCCTAGAACAATTGGTTATCGCTACTTAACGACACCGACAGTTGTCGGTAAGCGTGTACAGAATAGGCCCCCCCAGACACAAACTTTTGCATAATGCATAGTGCATAAAAGAATTAGCCAATCAAAGTTCTTCTTTTCCGTGAAGTGGAAGGAAAGGAGGGATTCAGATTGGTTGTTTCTCTTATCCACTATATATTATGCGTTATGCAAAAGTCTGTGCTCCCCGCTTATCGCAGATGAAATGCATAACTGTGCATAAGCATGAGCATCTTATGTTAATCAATATGGCGTCTTTATGCTGGATGCTCATTGGTCCAGCGGTCTTATGTTATGCTTATGCACAGGGGCTCTATTCTTGAAAAGAAACGTATACGAAAGTCTAGGGAAATACTATAGTATACGTAACGTATACTATAGTATTTTCCTAATTTTTCGTATACGTTTCTTTTCAAGAATAGACCCCCAGTTATGCATTTCATGTGCGATGGGCCTATAAAGGCGAAAAACACACACTTTTGCATAACGCATAAAGCATGTGCATAAGGAATTTCATTGGCCCATTTTCTTATGCATGAGTCAATGAACGAATCAAATTCTTTATGTATATGGTTTATGCGTAATGCAAAAGTGTGCTGCGACCTTTATGTATTTCATGTGTTTTGGACTTAACAGCAAGCTCACTCAACTATTGAAGTGTTGAGTTCGCTGAACGTGGCTGAACGCACTCAATGCCTGATTCCATGGGTTCTCGGATGTCAGACCAAATTTATGAATTTGTTTATAAATTGTATAAGTTATTTGACGTTTCTGACGCGTTGACGTAAAATAACTAATAAAAAGTTGCATAATGAATAAAAGCAGTAATAGTGATTTTCTTTCGCAGTCTTATTTTCAAGGTATTGAAAGGTAAATCAATTTGTATCTATATAATGTACGTCTTCTATAAACGCTTTTGAGCCTTTCACGGTATTTTCTTCAAAAATACTAGAAGGTTTACGCATTGATGCGGAACTGAGTAGTTGAGTACTTATCAATGTACTCGCCAGTTGCCTTGATGATGAAGTAAACAGCAAGGTTCACAAAACATTGGCAATGGTCAAAGATACGGCTGTAACCCTTTCTGGGGTATTTTCTATAATTATTTCTCACACATAAATACATTATAGATTCATGTTATGTGTAGAATTACGAGAACAAAGAGCAGTGCCTTTAATCTTCAAATATCGGAAGAACTTTTGAAAGTTCGAAAGAAAATTTGGGATAATTTGTTGGATAAATATTCCAAGGAGGTATAATTTATTTTCTTTATTAAATGTGTTTATTAAAAAAAAGTTTAAAAACTTTTGTTACTCTTACTATCTTGCGATACATGTTTGGTATGTTGCAAAAAATGTTTATTTTATTTTCAGATGTCTGATGATAAAGAGATAAATATTTATACTTTAGAACTTGAAGAAGATGAAGAAAACGAAAAAGAAAAAGTAGTTAGCGAAGAAGAATATAGCTGTGAACAACGAGTATATATGCCTAAACCAGCAATTTTTATACAATATTGGATAAATACTGGTAATTCTCCCTATAAGATACTTCCATATGAGAATGAATTATCTGAAGCATGTTCATCTCTAAGCGAAAAAGAAATTACATCTCCATTAGTATCTCCAGTCACAAATGCAAATAAGCAAGAATGCAAAAATAACTCGTCTTGCAGTTCTATAGATACTGCAGCTTATATTCTATCCAATGCAAATATTACAAAGAAAGTAGATACTATAGCTATTATAAAAGGTGCGAAATGTGTTGAATCCCTAAAGAAACAAGATAATCAATCCCTAAAGGAAGTTGCTGTTAAAAATGGAGGATTTCCATCCAATGGTAAGATTAAATCTGTGGAAACTATTAGAATTGATTGTACGATAATACATACTGACAATAACAATATTAATGTTGATATTTTAGATACCAAACAGCATTCAATGTCAATAGAATATATGATGGCAGAAATGGATAATAAGGTTGCAAACGTATCTTCTAATGCAATACAATCTAATACATATTCACAGAGTTTATCTTGTGAAGAAACAGATAAAACCAATGAGCCTAATACTATAAAAAAAAATTTTAATGTACAAACTGTAGATAATATTGCGTCTGTTTTTCGGCAATTCGATAAAACGTCGCAACAATTGATCGCACATGATACAAATAATGTGTCAGATTTAGATCAAGATAAAGCGCTAGTAATGGATTTTCACGAGAAACAAGTATCAGAATATGCCATGCATGAAAATATTACGAAAAACATGAATTTGACAGCTCCCCGCCGTAAGAAATTATATACAAATAGGAATTCCCCTGTAGATCTAATACTAACCGAAACGCATAGTACAAATAGATTATCTCGAATAACACAAAGTTTACATCCTGCTTTAGATCTTGATGTTACAATTAGGAGAGAATCATTTTCAACTTGTAAAGACAAAAATAAACGGTCATTTTCTGCTAAAAGGATTCTTGATTCCAAGAAGCTCAAAGGAAAAGAAAAAGGAGAATCTGGTCGTATTTCCAGTGAAATGATTACAGAGATTAGTGATATAAATAACGTAAAACTACGAGAAATTAAAATTGTATTGGAACGATTGCCATTTTTACCAGTAAAAAAGTACACAAGTACAATGACGGAAATGCAAGTCTTAAATAAAAGTAATGCTGCTCATTGGGAAAAAGAAACAACTAAGAAAGACAATATGAAACTTCGAGAAATCAGAGTTGTATTGGAACGCTTACCTGCCTACAATATATGCCTTAAGGAAAACAGCAATGTTACAAATATGAATATTTTTTCCAATAAAAAGATTTTGCAGAATACAGGATTGCAAACTAAGCATAAACAAGAGCCTAAAATTAGGAAAATTTCTCAAATTTTGGCTTGTAAAAATGAAGTAGCTATTCGACCAGTTCGTAACAGTTATTCACCGAAAATCAATACCAAATTTAAGAAAGATACATACGATATTGTCACACAGCGTGGAAGCCAAATTTCTGATAAGATTGAGTCACAGTTTAAATTTCAGCATAAAACATTTCGACGCAAAGATTGTAGTAAAGAGAGCCAAAATAACCGTAGTAAATATTCAATTTTAACATCTACATCATCAGACGAAGATGATTTTGTTCGATCGATACAACATCCCAGAAAAAGATCAAGAGTGTCAACTGATGATGATGATAATATATCAGGCAAATCAAATATCGCTAAAAAAGAATTGTACGATCAAACCAAGTTGATTATTTGCGATAAAGACAAATATAGTTATAGTAGGCACTTAAATACGGTAACTTGTTCATCGGAAAATACTGTACAAAGAGGCATTGGTTCGATAAGAAGAAAGAAAGAACATGACAATACGCAAACGGGAATTACCTCCTTAAAGTTACTTCGAAATAAAGGGAAATTTGTGTTTTCCTCAAGTGAAAATGACAACAGTAATGTTACTGATAATTCAAATACAGCTGAGAAAAAAAGTTCGTTTTTTGATAGTAAGAAAAACACAAGTAATAACAATTTAAAGCACTCAAATGGAGCGATAAAAAAAAATAGGATAGATTGTAAGGATAATACTCACATTATGTCCTTCCAAACAGAAATATTTAACTCTTCAGATTCTGAAGAAAGTAGTAGTTACACTTCATCTACTTGTAAAGTGTTGACGAGTTCTTCTATTCACAATAGATGTCACGATCGTGTCAATTTAGACGAAGCTTTTAATGATTCAATTGCAAAGAAGTACAGTAAAAGACATTTGGGCTTATCAAATTCTTCTCTTGAAAAGCACAATCGGACAAACGATATAAGAACTAAATTGAAATCAATCGACAAAGAAGCCAAAATGAATAATAAACGATTAGCTAATAAAAAATCTAACAACGATATTAAGTTGAGAATCAGCGATACGAGGAAAGATATTTCTTTTTCTCCTCTTATAAATGATATACGAGTCACATCTGTGCAAAAACCATCAAATACTTTGGGAATAATTGAGGAAACTAATGTATCGAAAAATAAAGAGATCTCGGAAAAATCTAAAAATTCAGTAGCTATTCAACAGGGTGACGTTACATCTACAGTAAGAAAATTGTTAACGTTTCAAACAAAAAGTTATTACGATTCAAGTGATTCTTCTGATTCAAATGAAACTATGTAACTTTCATAAAATACATTGTGAAACTTGCGCGATATACTTATAATTTATATCAAATATACACTACTCGCATTAATTAAAGCATCACCTCTCACACCTCCGAAAAATTGGTAAACTTTAAATGAGTGTAACTTCTACAAAAATGGTCCAAATGAGACTTTCAAAAAAGCATTTTGAAATCTCTACTTTCGAAGCTTATAATTGAAATTTCAATAAGACTGATACTTTACGGAGTTATACGGACACAAATGGATATCCGTCAAATCTAAAAATTTTTCACAAACTTTACAAATGTCTATGGCATGAGATAAAAATTACACGAAAATGCGGTTTGCAGTATTGGAAAGAGTGAATCTTTACCTTTAATTTCGTTTTTACTGAACGTTGTACGATTTTTTTTTTCACCGAGTTATTCAACATTGAATTAAAAATGGTCCCTTTGACTTTGACTGTTCATAAAAGACGAACGGAGTGACGTACAGCATTTTTTTAAAAAACAAAAAAAAAGTTCAATGTTTTCTCCTTAAAGTGCTTTTATCAATTTTTAGACACAGATAAGCTTTTTATGTAAAAACTTAAATGAAAGGTGAAGTTGAAAACTGAGGCAATTATCCATTTCTATTCGACTCGATCTATTCTGGTCAAAAGAGAGAGAGAGTAAAGAGTTGAGATAATTACGTTAATTATCAGAGGATAATTCACGTAATTTTACACTTTAGGGTCTACTAATTTCCACGAGACTCATACGAAACAGTCGCGACATTTTTAAACTAATGTCCTTCATGTTCGAAGTTACGATTTTGGGCAAGACGGCATTCGCTGTATTGAAATTAATCTTGTATCGCAGTATGCGATCACACCGCTGGCATTAGCGTTACCCGAAGCGTACCGTACGTGAATGTTGCACAGTCGGATTTTATGCTTCTTGTGTTTGTGTGTGCGCGTGTATGTATGTGTGCGTGTGTGCACGCGCGTGTGTGTGTGTAAATAAAAACATTAAATTTTAATACGAGGTATTGCCGCCTCGATTACAAATTACGTTTCTTAAACGTTGGTGCATGTTTATGCACCGCTAGATCTCTACTCGAGGAATTCGATGCCAAACTTGACGAAGTGCATTCGTTAATTCTTCTAATGTTTGTATTCTTGGATAATGTCGTCGCAATCGGCGCTCAAGTATATCCCAGACATGTTCAATCGGATTGAGGTCCGGGCTCATCGGCGGGTGATTCAAAACGTTAACACGATTTTCTCTAAGAAATGTTTGTGTAATCAATGCAGTATGGCAACGGGCATTATATCATGCATAAGTATGAATCTAGATTGTACCTATTATTTCTGCCAATCCGAAATTACTTTCTTCGAAAAATGTCTGCACTTACTTAATTCTAGAGATCAACTGAGATTATTTGTATAAAGCATATTTTTCAAATGTGTCGACATTCAACTGAAAAGGTAATCTGACCTAGCATTAACATATATGTTTGCAAATTGAAAAAGAACAACAAATGAGTTATAGTGTACTTATTATTTCTGTCACTACTGTGTATATAGAATGTACATACAAATGTATAGATGTTTATATAAAAATGCTAAATTTAAAAAAAATGATTAAAACGATATAATTTATAAAATGTGTATGTGAAGAATTAGTAAATTATATTTGTAATATAAGATAAACTCACTGTATACTAATAAATATAGCACAGTTATGTATTAAAACGAATATGATATCTAGAAACATTAAAAAAAGATGAGGAGCAATTACATATATTCATCCTTCTTCTCTTTTCTTTTTGTCTACTTTCTCAATCTTTCTTTCCTCTTCTATAAACCATGGCTGTATATTAGTAAATGCATAGATTCAAAACTTAAAATATGAAAGAAAATTATAATAGTAGAGGGTGCTTTCCAGCAGTCAGACACAGTGTAACACAGTGAATCATTACATTCTTGTTGTTTGCCTACGTTAAACGAGGATGGAACGATTCTCTGTGTTATACACAGTATCTGATTCTGTCCTTGCTGAAAAGCACCCAGAATCAGTACAAAGAACGTTGAGTACAGATCATTTTTTGTTTTGTTTACATTAAGAAATAATTTATTTGCCATTTTCTTGAAAACTTAACTTTTTTTTGAAGAATAACAATATTAATTATGTCAGTTAGTTATAATAAGATTTTTATTCTTCTTATCAGTTAGAAAGTGACATAATTATAAAAGAATTGTATTATATATAATATAAATATATATGTATAATTATACATAGCATGGTTAAATGGTATAATTAAATAATATGGTTTTAAATTCTACATAAGATATATATATTCAGATTGCACATCTTTCATGTATGTGAAGCAAATGTCGTTACGATGTGACAATTCCAGAGTGCCATATTGAATTGACAATAGCTGCGTTATTCGGCAATGCAAATCTGAGGCATCAGAGTGCTCTTTTTCTATAGTGCACGGGACATATGCTATAATATAAGAGCACTCCGACACCTCAGATTTGCTA